TGCTGATTTTCCATTGTGCCAGGGGCCAGGTGGATGCTAGCGGTGGCTTCGGGGGGGCGGCCGTGGGCGCGACTGGTTGAGGTGGCGGTCCGGCGGGCGCCTTGAGCGCTCTTGGAGGTGCGCGCGGCCATCTTCAGCGCCGAGAGCGACGCCAGTTTTGCGTGCGCTGCTGGTGTCGCGGCGGGCGCCGCGGTCTTTCCGCGCGCCGCATGCGGTCGCCGCGCCGAGGTGGCTCGCGCGGCCCGGCCCAACCTTGCAGCGACAGTGCGCCTGTGATGTTGTTCTGAGAGCACGCGCTGCAAGTGGCCACAGCCTCCAACAATGTCGAGGCCTGGAATGCCTTCAACCCAAAGTTGTCCCTGCCGCACCATGTTTTCGCGCAATTTGGCGGCCCGCGGGGATGCAGCCGTTGTCATCCCTCGCCGTGGCGTTCGGCGTCGCCCGCGCCATCGCCGGCCTCGTTGCAAGCGATCGCTGGTTGAGGGGGTGGCGCGCAGTGGACAAATGCACGTTTCGAATTTGTTTCCGGGGAGCTGCGAGCTCGGGGCTCCCTCGGGCGCCGACGAAGCGGAATGTCCGTCGCGCGCCATTTTCTGCGCCTGAAGAACGTCGCGTCTCGCTCGCTCGGCGGCTGCTGAACGGCGAACTGACCTCGCGCCGGTCTTGGGGCGGCTGGTTTAACCGCGCCCTTCCGGCGGAGTTGAGCACGGCGGTTGTGCGATCATCATGATGAGCGCGGTGTCTTACATTCCGTTCGCAGGGGCCCGCGCCCAGAGCGCGCGCAATGGGCAATTGGCCAGCTCTGGCTGCAGGGGGGTGTTGCCTGCGGAGTGGGGTTGCAGAAGGTCCTTGCGCACGCGAGCGCGGTGGTTCGACTTCCTGGACACCTGCTCCGACCCGGCGTGATTTTTCCCGGAAAGGGCAAAGGCCCAGGGTTCTCTTTTAGTATGTAAACATGTCCCCAGTGCCCAACTTGAAGGAGGCCGGCGCAATTGTTCCCTCATAAATATTGAGGTCGAAGGAGGCCGGCGAAATTATTTTTGAGGATGTCTCGAGCGAAACGCTTGTTTTTCAGAATTTGTTGAGGATGTCTCGAGCGAAACGCTGGTTTTGCAGAGTTGGGGATGTCTCGAGCGAAACGCTTGGTTTCAAAATTTGTTGAGGATGTCTCGAGCGAAACGCTGGTTTTGCAGAGCCGACCGCGACACGGAAAAGCGCTCCTCGCGCAGGAATTCCGAGGATGTCTCGACTAATTCGTTTGTTTTTGTGCGATTTCCTGGAATTTTGGCAGGATGTCTCGAGCGAAATGCACGACCCCACCCTAGCACGACCATACCCCAGCACGACCACACCCCAGCACGACCAGACCCCAGCACGACCCCACCCCAGCACGACCCCACCCCAGCACGACCATACCCCAGCACGACCACACCCCAGCACGACCCGACCCCAGCACGACCCTACCCCAGCAAGACCACACCCCAGCACGACCACACCCCAGCACGACCTCACCACAGCACGACCACACCCCAGCACGACCACGCCCCAGCACGACCACGCCCCAGCACGACCACGCCCCAGCACGACCACCCCCAGCACGACCACCCCCCCAGCACGACCACCCCCAGCACGACCACACCCACACGCACGACCACACCCCAGCACGACCACACCCCAGCACGACCACACCCAGTCGCACCCCCGTGGAATGTTTCGTGGCGTGTCTGGTTGAGTGGTTGCCTGTTCGTGGGGTGTCTCGTGGACTGTTTCACGGGGTGTCGCGTGGAATGTTTCGTGAGGTGTCTCGTGGAATGTTTCGTGAGGTGTCTCGTGGGATGTTTCGCGGGGTGTCTCGTGGGATGTTTCGTGGGATGTCGCCCAGTTGGGTATCGTGAAAACGTGACCATGCTGCACATGTCTTTATCCCTTTCCGGGTTCGTGGGTCCATCATGTTTCCCGGAAAGGGCGTGGGCCCAGGGTTCTCGTATAGCTGTTTACCCCCGGATCTGACGGGAAGAGGGCTGGCGGATTTCTTTTGCGGTAAATAACGAGTGGGAAGAGGGCCGGCGAATTAAAATTTCAGGATGTCCCGAGCGAAACGCTTGTTTTGTTTCCAGAAGTTGTTGAGGATGTCTCGAGCGAAACGCTTGTTTTGTGTTATGTATTGTCCTCTCCTGGGGACTAGAATTTAGAGGATCTCTCAAGTGGAATGCTTGTTTTCACGAGCCCAGATCTTGAGGATGTCTCGAGCGAGACGCTTGGTTTCACGCCTCCAGGTTGCCCAGGCAGAGGTCTACCGCCAGGATTTGTTGAGGATGTCTCGAGCGATACGCTTGCTTTCACGCGTCCTCGTCGACCAGGCGGATGTCTAGCATGAGGATGTGTTGAGGAAGTCTCGATCGAGATGCTTGTTTGCGCGTGTCCAGGTTGCCCAGGCGGATGCCTAGCATGAGGATGTGTTGAGAATGTCTCGAGAGATACGCTTGTTTTCACGTGTCCAGGTCGAGACGCTTGCCTTCACGTGTACAGGTCGCACAGGCGGATGTCTAGAATGAGGAGGTGTTGAAAACGTCTCGAGCGAAACGCTTGTTTTCACGTCCCCAGGTCACCCAGGCGGGCGTCTCACATGGAGATGTGTTGAGGATGTTTCGAGCGAATCGCTTGTTTTCACGCGTCCAGTTCGCCCAGGCGGATGTCTAGCATGAGAATGTGTTGAGGATGTGTTGAGCAAAACGCTTGTTTTCACGTGTCCAGGTCGCTCAGGCGGATGTCTAGCATGAGGGTTTTGACAGGAAGTCTCGAGCGAAACGCTTGTCCCCAGCACGTTCCGTAGCGCGTCCCCTTGGCACGTCCCGCGGTGCGACCCCATGGCACGTCCCTTGGCACGTCGCTTGGTGCGTCCCTTGAGACGTTCCGCGGCGCGTCCTCCTGGCAGGTCCCCCTGTCAATTGGCGCTGGGGCAGCTACTATGTGTTCAGGCAGCTCGAGCTTGAGATCCAGATCAGTTCGGTCAGGACTCGGATGCAAAGGAGGACTCGATCCACGACGCTATAGAGCACACTGGCGGCATGGCACATCGCAATTCATCACGGCGCAGCACAGCACAGACGTCGGCACGGTACGTCAAGATCGATACGCTCAGCATTGCGACCAGGCACGTTCCTTGGCACGTTCCGTGGTGCGTGCCTTGGCGAGTTCCCCTGGCACGTCGCGTGGCGCGTCCCCTGGCACATCCCGTGGCACATCCGTTGGCACGTTCCGTAGCGCGTCCCCTTGGCACGTCTCGCGGTGCGACCCCATGGCACGTCCCCTGGCACGTCGCCTGGCGCGTCCCTTGGGACGTTTCGCGGCGCGTCCTCCTGGCAGGTCCCCCTGTCAATTGGCGCTGGGGCAGCTACTATGTGTTCAGGCAGCTCGAGCTTAAGATCCAGATCAGTTCGGTCAGGACTCGGATGCAAAGGAGGACTCGATCCACGACGCTATAGAGCACACTCGCGGCATGGCACATCGCAATTCATCACGGCGCAGCACAGCACAGACTTCGGCACGGTGCATCAAGATCGATACGCTCAACATTGCGACGTTCCGTGGGGCGTCCCTTGGCGAGTTCCCCTGGCACGTCGCGTGGCGCGTCCCCTGGCACATCCCGTGGCACATCCGTTGGCACGTTCCGTAGCGCGTCCCCTTGGCACGTCTCGCGGTGCGACCCCATGGCACGTCCCCTGGCACGTCGCCTGGCGCGTCCCTTGGGACGTTTCGCGGCGCGTCCTCCTGGCAGGTCCCCCTGTCAATTGGCGCTGGGGCAGCTACTATGTGTTCAGGCAGCTCGAGCTTGAGATCCAGATCAGTTCGGTCAGGACTCGGATGCAAAGGAGGACTCGATCCACGACACTATAGAGCACACTCGCGGCATGGCACATCGCAATTCATCACGGCGCAGCACAGCAGAGCCCTCGGCAGGGGACATCAAGATCGATACACTCAGCATCGCATTTGCCCGTCACCCAATCAAATGTCTTTGAAAACGCTGCCATGCGTTACATTTCTATATTCCTTTCCGGGTTCGTGGGTCGATCATGTTTTTGGACCCTGGCCCTGCCAATCTGCGTGAGGGGTGCCATCGAATTTCAGCAATGTGGCAAATCCCATGTGTTTTTGGGCCTTGACCCTACGGATCTGCGTGAGGGGTGTGAATTTTTACCCACCCCAGCAATTCAGAGCACACGCTCAGGGCGTGGTCAAAATGCGCGTTTTGGGTCTCCCCCCGTCGCGCTGTCCATCAATAAGGAACAGTAAGCAGCAAGAAGCATAACTGTAACAAGGAACAGTAAGCAGCAAGAAGCATAACTGTCACAGTGGAAACTGGAAGCTGCAACTGGTACAGGAAACTGCGAAGCTTCGGCCTACAGCCTGGTGGCCCCACAAGGGGGCCGGCGGATTCCTGACCGTACCCAAAGGCAACGTAAGACCGCTCGGACCCCTCACCTTGGCCTGTGCCGAGAGAAACGAGCGTCGACTGCGCGGGCACTCGCCCGTAAGCTGCCAGCGTATGGGCGCATTCCTCTGCCCTTGGAGTGCCGCTCTGGCGACCTTCGCAGGCCACCGCGGCTAGGTCGCCGCGTTCTCTTGCGTGAGACTGTGGTGTACTTCACCGCTCCCTTTCTGGAAGGAGGAGGGGGAGGAGGAGGAGGAGGAGGAGGAGGAGGAGGAGGAGGAGGAGGAGGCGGAGGAGGAGGAGGAGGAGGAGGAGGAGGAGGAGGGAGGAAAACAGACGAGGAGGAGGAGGAGGAAAGAGGAGGAGGAGAAGGAGGAGGAGGAGGACGAGGAGGAGGAGGAGGAGAAGGAGGAGGAGAAGGGGGAGGAGGAGGAGGAAAGAGGACGGCATGGCATGCTGGGCCCGCGGGCACGAGCCCTCCAGCAGAGGACTGCATTGGCCGAGCAGGACCGCTGCCTTCCCCAGCCCGCCGGGGTCCCGGGCTGGCGAGCCGCGGTGCCCGCAGTCGCTGAGCAACATCGAGAGGGGGCTCGAGCGGAAGCAGCTCGGGAAGACGGAGGCGAACCTCGCCGGCAGAGCGACGGCACGCCTGCGCCGCCCGTGTCAGGGGTGACAGGCTAGGGGGGGGGGAGGTATCGAAACATGCAGAAAGAATCCAGGGATTTCGAGACCGGGGTTGCTCCCATCAGCTGTTCCTCACCGAGAGCGCTTCAGGGGTGCCCGGATCGTCCCGAACGGCCGCTGGAGGCCGCAGGTATGACACGAAAGCCAAGGGGCAACTCTAGGGGGGGATAGGTTCAGAGGGGGGATGCAGCGGCCCCCCGTTGCCCACCGATTTTTACTCGTATTATGTTTCCCCTCTGAGCCGGTTCCCCCCCAGCGTTGCCCCTCACCGCGTTGGGGGGGGGGGTCGCCATGGCATGTTTGACGACGCCAGCCGTGCGGAATACCAGCCTGATGCGACGAAGCACCAGCACATGAGAGGCCGCGGCTCCCGAGACCGCTACCGAAAGGGCCGGGCACGCCGCCGCCAGGCCGGGCACGCCGCGAGCCCAGCCTCCGTTGAACAAATATTGATCACAGTAATAAGCGCGATGCCAATAACAAGATAATGTCAAAGAGTAGTCGGCATTATTTTTTCCCGCAATCACAAGAGCACTACTAGGACATCAATAATAATACGAAGCATGATAACACAATAATAAGACGACGGCATGATCATACACTTTCGGAGGTCCGCGCGGATTTCGTGGATCTGCGCTGGGCCCCCCTGGCGGTGCTTCTGGCGCCGCCCCTGACGCGCTCCAGGCGCCAGGAAGGGAGGTCTAGCGTCGATCCAAGATTCGCACGGGCCTCCCAGGTTTTGAGTTTATGCCGTATTTGTTGGGTTATATTAATGAGGTTCTTCGCCGTCTTCGCCCTCCAGGGCCCTCGCTGGACCCTGAGCGTGATCGTCAGGAAGCAAGGCCAGGGTTCGGGCGGGAGGTAAAGGGGGGTGGCCTAAATGGGGGGTGAAGAAAGGGGCCGAACGGGGCACCCCCAGTACCACCCGCCCGAGTGGTGAACAACCGCCGCAAGGGAGCCCCCAAATGTCGGGTTGGGGGGTTTAGATTCGATGTTCCAGAACGTCCCCCCCCCCTCCCGCTGGGGAACGGCGGGCCCAACGGCGACTTCGGGTCGGGTTGGGGTGGCTTGGTGGGTAGCCAGTCTGGGCCTGGGAGTCGTTCTTCGACGGGCGGCGGCGCGAGAGCGCGAAGAGGAGCGCGGCCTCGCGCGGCGCGATTCGCGAAGTGAGGCGACGTATGTCCGCGGATGACTTGCAGGCACCGTGCCGCGCTGGCGCCCCCCGAGTCGGCGGCGCGCCGAGGGGGGAAGTGGGGGGGGCGGGACAGGTCTTCTCGTCAGGCGGCGGGGCTTCTCAGAAGCCCTCAAGCCCTTTGAGAAGCCGTCTGCGGCTTCGGATGGGGTTTAGACAGCTTCTCAAAAGGCCCGATGCCTCTAGCCTTCTGGGGAGGTCCGCACTATCTACCTTCCCCCCTTGGCGCGCCGCCGACCTAGGGCGTCGTCGATCCTGGGCCCAGGTGTGTCACGGTGTAGAAAGTTGTTCGGCCCCCAGGCCACAACAAATTCTGCACCGTCCCGCCTGGGCGGAGGGGCGCGGCGGTGCGCGGGCCTGCCGTGGCTGGGCCTCTGGCCGTGAGGGCCACGCAGCTGCGCCCCGACCCCCTTTCCTGAGTTTGGCGATCGGTAGGGCCTACCGGCAGGGACGGGGCTCATCGCGCACGGGGTCCGCGCCAATCCCCTCTGGCTGGCCTGGCTTCCCGAGCTGGGAGTTACTCAGCGGCTGCCTGGGTTTCGCGACGGGGCCCAGGCCGACCCGGGGTTGTGCTGATCTGGTTAGTGCGTCCGCGACTCCCAGCGGAATCGTTCCAGAGCGTTCTGGAACGCTCTTGGAGCGTTCTGGAACGCTTCGAGGAGGCCTCGGCGCCCGAAACACCCGTCGGAACTGCCGGATCTACAATTTGTCCTGGTCCAAGTTTGTCCAGTTGAGGAGGATGGAGGAGGAGGCGGCGGAGAAGAAGGAGGAGGAAGGTGGAGGAAATGGGTACCAGCGCTCGGCTTCGGAGGTTCGTGACGTTCTCGGCGGACCCACGCCGAGACAGCTGCACTATGCTGCAGATTATGGAATCCGCACGGCCCTCTAGTGGCTTTTGCAGCAAACCCATCATGGAAGAGTGATGGCCATGACTACCGCGGGGCTGCTGTCGCGCTCGGTCAGTTCTCTGAGGGACTGGCGGTAAAGCTGTACGAGAGGCACAGGTGGTCGGAAGACCATTTCTGCCTGAGCTCAGTTTTTGGGGTGTTAGAGTCTGAGGGCTTTGGCAATCTGAGTGCTCGCATTTTTTTGTCTGGGGCTCCCGAGGGCATCAGAGAAAAGGCCTCGGAAACCTGATTATGTGAAGAAGCCAAACTTGCGACATAAAATCAGAGTACCCGACCTAACC